CTTTTTTTTTTTTTTTTTTTTTTTTTTTTTTTTTTTTTGTGAATCCACTGTTAGCGGAGCGTGTATGCTAAGCACTAAATCCAATCTTCACTTACATTCTATATGACGGTAATTTGATCCCCAGAACAAGAGTGTATAGGTGAGAAAATGGATAAGAAAAGAGATTGTGTTATTTTGACCAGTGCCATCTTATTGTAATAGAAAACGGAGCTTTTTAGCCTGTATTTGTCCAGTATGTGTGCTTTGCTGCCTCTTCCTCATTTCCCTTACTGGTGCTTCTTCCCTGCTGGACTGTGAGTGTCCCCAAGTCAGGAATTGTAACTTTCATCTCTGTATCCCATGCAAGTAGGACAAGGCTAGGAAACAGTGGACGCTGAATAAGTTAGAAAATATGATTTAAAATCATGCTTCACAAGCAGAGGTATGAAAATATCACCATTATTTTCTCATACTGTAATTCTGTGCTTTTAAAACATTGATAAATAAGGAAATGTTTCAGTAAGACATCAAAGAATAAAATATGCTCTCCAACCCCAACTGTTTTTCATACATAAAGGGTAAGAATACTTCTGTGATGCTAATATCCATGACAACCAGCAATGAAAATAGCCAAGAATGTATAGAAAAATATAATGAGGCGACCCTGGTTTTAACAGACTTTCAAATATTCCAGGACTAATTCTTGTCACAGTGCAAATCTTTCTCAAGTGATAAGAAACCTCCAGCCATTTGAGTTTGCACATTTGTCCAGACAAATACCTTAACAGCTACTTCTTCCCAGTCGGTCTGTGACTGGGTTGTTTTGAATGTGTGGCTGTCCTTGGAAGGAAGGTTACTCTCCATGCATTCCAGTCACTTCATTCTGTCTTCTTTGGACCAGTGATCTTAGCCTTTAGGCAAGGCCATCTCTAGGTCTTTGGGCCGCTTATGTGGTCCCAGCGATTCAGACACCTCAGCAGGAGCTCAAAGTTCTTCACTCTCAACACTCAGTATGCGAGTTAATGTCCGCGAGTGTGTGTGATTCTCTGTTTCTGAGAAGAAAGAGAAAGTTACTCTCCTGTGTGATTAATGAGATAAACACACCGCACTTGGGATATGTCCCTTCTGTAATTTACAAACCCTTAAAAATAAATGAAAATTGGCCCAAATTCTGAGTTGAGATTAATATTGACCATCAGGATGCTTCATTTGCGCTACTGAAAATCCTCCATCCCCATGCCAGCAGACCTTGCCACCAGTCTCTCCAGGGCTTTGTCGTAACTGTAAAGAAACAAATAACCAGCACCTCACCCAAGAAGCATAGCATTAGAGAAAGGATGGGAGTGGGGGTGGGGCTGAAAGAAAGTAAAATGAAAGAGACGTGGCTAGCAGGAAAGGACTTCAAACAACAATGAGGTACCGCTACACATCTGTTAGGATGGCCAAAGTCCTAACTAGTGACAGCCTCAAATACTGGCGAGGCTGTGGACAACCAGGAGCTCTCATTCCCTGCTGGTGGGAATGCAAAGTGGGGCAGCTACTTTGGAAGTCACTGCAGCAGTTCCTTTAAAAACTCAGCCTTCTCCCACCATACAATCCAGCAATCTTAGTTCTTGGTATTTACCCAGATGAGCTGAAAACTTCACGTGTGCCCAAAAAGTCACTAAAGGATGTTTATGGCAGTTTTATTCATAAATGCCACCAGTTGGACACAACCAAGATGCCCTCGGGTAGTGAGTGGATAAAGAAGCTGTGGTATGCCCAGATGCTGGAATAGTATTCAGTGCTAAAAAGAAGTGGTGATCAAGCAAGCAAGGGGCATGGAGGAAACTTCAATGCATATGACTAAGTGAAAGAAGCCAATCTGAAAAGGCTACTTATTTCATGAGTCCAAGTATATGGCATTCCAGAAAAGGTGAAATTTTGGAGTCCGTGGAATTGAAGAACCCTAACAGAGTTTATGTTACCCAAAATATAGAGATGGTTAAAGACATTAAAATTAAAAATAAAAGATTTTAAAAAGAATCATCCAGAAATGCAGTAGGAGTTATATATTAGATATGACATAGCAGAAATTGGAACTCAGTGGAAGAATCGGAAAGTAAAATTGAAAAGCAGAATGACAACATAAAAAGTTGTAAAATAGATAGTCTCAATCCAGAAAACAGGAAACAATCTAACACAGCTCAAAAATTGAATGGAAGCATGACAGCAAGATAAGGACAAGATAAATGTACACATTGTATGATAGGGGTGGTCAAGGATTTAAAAACTAAATATTTAATTTCTTGTAGTGTCGGTATTATTTATATTAAGAAATATTGGAATAAGCATATTACATATAATCATGACAGTACGATATATATAGCATGACAGCTTTCTTTTTTCTCACTACTCTCTGGAAAATGCCACTTGTGGGGACACTACAAAAAATAATTGGGGATTATGAGTACTACTAATATAACTATTTTCTTCTGTGATTTTCTTCTTTGGATGCTGTAGGAAAATAAACCTCCCCCTATACCTTTCTGAAAGACAGAAGAGGTTTTGGATTAAATTGATATTTCCATAATTTCATCAGCATAATTCAATCACAGAATTATAAATGAATTTTTAAAACCATAGAATATGATCTTCCATTGGTCACTTCTCCATGATAAAAGGTAATCTATAAATGTTATTTGTTTTTTTGAGACTCACAGCCAAAATATCGTGGGTCAAATCAAATTCACTACGCACAAGGGTGCCTGGGTGTCTCAGTGGGTTAAGCGTCTGCCTTAGGCTCTGGTCATGATCCCGGGGTCCTGGGATGGAGCCCCATATCGGGCTCCCTGCTCAGCCAGGAGCCCGCTTCTACCTCTCCCTCTGCCGCTCCCTCTGCTTGTGCTCTCGCTCATGTACACTACACACACTCTCTCTCTCTCTCTCAAATAAATAAAATAAAATCTTAAAAAAATTTTTTTTTAATTCACTATGCACAGTAGTAGACCCCTTCATGTGTTTTTCTTTCATATTTTGAGGGTGTAAAAAATCTCAACTTTGGTCATTTAGCATTTTTTAATATGTTGGGTTGTGGGTGGGGTTTTTTTTTTTTTTTTGGTCTTTTTTTTTTTTTAAGTTTTTATTTAAACTCCAGCTAGACAATTGTATTTTCCAGAGCAACCAATGGCAAAGTTAAGAGCACAGACATTGGAGGTTGACACCTGAGTTCAAAAGTCACTGAACTATCTCATGGCTCAGTTTTTTCATTGGAAATAATGGATTATTAAAGTTTTTATATGTAAAGAAGAGAGAACTCCGTTTATATGGAAACCACGCAGTAAGTGCTCAGTTACTGTAAACTCTTAGGACTAGCAAAGACTGGCAAAGTCACATTTAGGTGACGTGTTCCAGGCCACACAGTAACACTGGATCCCAAGTATGGTAGACTATAATGTCTCCCCAGCATTATTCCTTTTCTAGTCCAGAACACAAACTTGATTCAATCAACAAGGTTACTTTGTTGGTTTCTCACAATATATCCAGCAAGTATATTTGGTGGTGGAAAGACAATGGAGACTCTGCAATCCAGCGTGGGACAAGAACATCTGAAACAGAAAGCAATGTAAACTTGTGTGATGATGAAATGGGGACAGACGGTAAGGGGCATGTGTCCACATACTGCTCTTCTGTCCTCCTGACGTGGAGAACAAAGGCAAGAGAAATGTAGCCCTATTCAAGTCTCCTTCCAACTTGCAGCCCACTGATAAATCCCTGAGCCATGCAAGCATGACATTCTTCAAGGAGCTCCATGGCTGCCTTAATGTTTATGTTTTATTGGAGACTGAAAGCAACCATATCTTAATAGCCAGCCCTCCAATTCCTGGAGACCTTGCTTTTAACAGGCACATATGCCTTAGAAACTCGCTTGAGCCCTAACCTCCACTAACTAAAAAGTATATAATCAGTCACTCCTCACAATCACAGTGCAGTTCCTTCTGCCCGCAGGTCCTGTCCCCCAGGTATAAAAAAAGCATCTTTTGGCCTTGAAAAGGTCTTAAGAATTCTTTCCTGACCCTTGGCTTGGTAGCCCCATATCACTCCCATCCCATCCCATCCTTCAAGGCCCAAGTGACGATCCTCAATGCAAGTAAGTGTATGACCACCCTGAGTGTAACCACACACACACACGTCCCTTCTTGCCAAACAGTCCCTTCATTTCCCGCCTCCCCACCCAGATGCACGTTCCTGAAGACAAAACTCCATGGTGTCGACTCAACCTGTATAATCTGTTTTGGACACCAGCCTTCAAATCCTGGAAATGTGAACTTTGGACTCCCTCCTTGTCCCTGACTTTTACAACAAAGTTCCCTTCAGATAAGATCATGGTCTCATGATCATTAGATTTCTTCATTCCCATATTTGGTGAACTTGCCCCTGATATGCAGCCAACCTGTTGCCCTCTGAGAATACAGTGGTTGAGTATATGAGGCACTTCCTTTCTCCATCCCTTGCCATTTATACTACAGAAAAGCTGAAAGGCCTAGCTACATGGGGCTCACTAAAGCAAGGGCCTATCTTTATGCAAAGGGTCAGGATGATTCCTGTCAAACTGGGTTTTTGACCCTGAGACAAATCGATCCATGTGTGGGATACACTACATCAAGAAGAAGAAACTGGGTTGCAGACCACATGGGCACCCCAGATAACCAGGCCCACACCTGATGTGCAAACCCCCTGTTCCTGTGTTTGGATCATGAGGTTCCAATCACACTCATCTGTTTTGGCACCTCCAGCAACCTCAAAATGGGTGACCAATGATGGCACCCATATTCTAGATGAAAGGCACACAAGAGATTCTGATGTCTAAGAAGATGGAACTGAAGTGACAGAATTGTGGGTGTCAAGACATCTTTATTTGAACAGCAGGTTACATCCAAGTAGAAAAAGCAGAAAAGGTAATCAACTAACATTCATTGGCCTTGATGGAGTGGTGCTCCCTCAGGTACCAGGTTCCGGGGTGTCCCAGGTCAGGCTCTTGACTTAGCCCTCATCTGTGGCCAGAGCACATGAAAGGCCTGACAGGAGATTTCAAGCAGCCATTGTGGTACCTCCAAATGATCCAATGCTTTGCCACATCCACAAAACTCAAACTTCCAGTGTCAAAATCAAGGAACACCCCAACCTTGCCCTGACATTTCTCGGTGAACACAGGAGACAGAGGCCAGGTGGCCCAGAGCCTGTAGCCATCATCCTCCTTTACACACATCAGGAGGAATGTGCCACTCAGTTCTTCCAGTGGGCCAATGTTCCTCATCCAGGAATTGTCACGGAAGCCCTCACAGACACCCACAGCCCAGTCCCAAGAGTCGTTCACCTCTAATTCCCAGTAATGTTTGCCACTGCTAAAGCAGGGTTCTCCCCATGATGCAAAGTGGTCAGATGTTCCAGGAATCAAGGATGCATACAGATGGTCACGGTCATACCTCAAACTTCTCGTGTCTTCAAATAGCCTCGTATCGTGATTGGTTATTACCCTGCTGAATGTCACATTGACTGTCAAAAGGAAAATTCCAGTCAAAACCAATGGGAACAATACAATGGCCCCTGACAGAAGAAAGAAGGTCTATCTACAGTCTCACCGAAAACAACATTCCAACATTAGAAAGGCAGTTCTGACTGCAGAACTTTGGATCCAGATGTTGCCAACACATGTATCAGACAAATACCTTCTTAAAATGGAAAAAAAAAAAAAAAACACAAAACAAAACCTTCCTAAAAATTTAGAGATCATGAAGAAGGTCATATGGACTTCTGGCTGATTACTTTGCACAACACAGGAAAGTCTGCCCATCTATGCATCGTCTTCAAGCCCACAGCAATATAACTTTGCTCGACCACCCCTTCTGAGGGAACTAAGGCAAAATTACACTTTAGACTGGATAAATGGTGGTATGCCTTCATCAGGATATCACTACATTCTAGTTACGCACGTTGACACTGAAGAGGAAAACCTAAAGATGACTTCCTAGATGTGGCTTCCTACAAATGTTCTGCCTAGGATATCTGCTTCTACCTGAGGTCTCCTCTTCCTCCCTGCTAAATTAAACCTCTGGGTTTAAGTTTACCATAGAGATCTGTATGATATGACCTCACCAACCACCAATTTGCTTTATTGCCATTTTTCATAAATTCTTGAATTCTGCCTTGAGGCGTGATTTTATGCTTATGCATTTTTCCTCATTGCACAAATGGAAACTAATGCAATTTACTAGGAAACTTTTTAAACCAAAAAGATTTTCAAAGACTAACTGACTGTACTTTCTTTGAAACTGGAGGGTCTTGAATTCACATCTACTTTTCTATGACTGGGTGAACAAGTGACACTGCATATGATAGTTTCTAGGACTCAAGGTGCCCTCTTCTGGAACACACTCGCTTTCCCATTACTTAAGTAATCTATCAAATGTATAAGCTAGTAGAGCCTGAACCACATATTGACATATGCACAGCTACTCTGGTTTCTCTTTAAAAGACGGCCCACAGAAAACCATGATTGAAGGACCTGGCATCGTGGTCTCACCAGTGGGGCTGACACTCACCTAGGAAGCTGTTGAGCCTGTCCGCCAGCCCCATTATGGGTTGTGCCCTGAGTTGTGGCTGCCCACATGGAGGTAGGTTTGGCTGATTTCTCTTCATCCTGTAAGGAGGAAGATGAGCTTAATCATTCTAGTGCCTGAGACTTCTTAGAAACACAGTGGTTGACAAAGTCAGCACCCTTTAGCCAACCATTCTTCATCAGAATCCTTTCCTCCACAATCATGGGATAGGACTGTGTTATTCTTGGGGAACCACTTTTCTTCTTTGCCTGCTTCTGCCCACCCCAATCTCTCCTAGGTGCTCTTGCCTCTCTCACCAAATCACTGGGAAAATTAGTCTTTCTGCTTCCAATAGGTATACAACTGTGAAACTAAAACCACATAGCTGGTTCTAGAAACTTCTGTATTGAGCACTTCACTCAGCCACGAGGATAAAAGAAGTCTAACTTCTGATCAAGGGGCACAGGAAATCATATTCAGCAAAACATGCACAAACATGGGCATACATAAGCAACTGAGATAGTCCAACAATGCTGTCTTTGCTTGGATAGAAGTGCAGAGCTTGAGCTCTTCCACAGCCTTCACCGTGCCCTAGGTAGCATGGATGTCCAAACTCACCTTGCCAAAGTGTCTCCTAATTCCTGTCAAGAAAAAAAAGAGAAACTTAAGACTTCAAGCATAGGTCATTCTGCCAGTCTTTGGGCTTGGGAAATATCAGGAAAAGTACTAATCACCACCACCACCCCACACACACTGTCATGCTAACCCTTTTTCCTTTTCTTCCCTAAAGATAATCCCACTATAACAGATGGACAGAATGGAAATTCTGGATGAATTTAGAACCCTGAGTGTAAAGAGAGGACAAAAGTACCAACTGTGCACTGCTGCAACCCTCAGCTGTCTGCAAAGTAGCCTTTCCTGGGCTTGTCCCCCAAGGGTGGTATGTCCCAAATTAAGGGCAATTCAAACCTAGGACTTCCCTACCGAAGCAGGAAGTAGGTGAGCTTTTCCCAAATTTCCCCATACTTCCCAAATGGAGACAAGAAATTGGATGTCCACTGAGTAAGTTGTGTCTTTCTGGGTCTTGGAGAAGCAAGCTCAATTAAAGAAATTGAGAAGGGACTATTCCCTGGGGACTCTCCCTAATGAGTCTCATAAGGCTTCCTTGTTCATGGCTAGAATAGGAGTTGCAGTTGATCTAGACTATTCCCAATCAGGAGAGACACCCGCCAGAGGGGCAAGACATGGAAGAATACATCTTTGCTAAGCAGTAAAGCATGGAAGTCAAAGGTGAGCCACAGTTCTTACCTGGAGGAGCTCCCCATCTGGCTTTTGGCACATAGCCACCAGCTCCATGTACATTTCTCATAGGGAGCTCATACAATTGGTCAGATGACCTTGATTCCTCAAGAACTGGTCACACATCTCATTGCCTTCTTCTCGAAGGCTTTCTAAAGTTTCACTTTCCTCTCTGAGAACTGGACATGGTGTCTCACGAGCAGGAATGACGTTTTCATGTTGAGTCACAAAACACTGCAAGGACATGGGTTAAGTAGACTGAATACTCAGGTCAGTCTCATCCCTGGCCACTTAAGCAGCATCCAGTGTACTCTGCCTCTGGGCTCCATACATCCTAAATTCGTGAACTCCCACTTCTCAGAAACCATTCATTCCTCTCTCCATTTGTTTTCCATCCTTTCAAAACTATTCCAAGAGCCAAACCCACACATTCCCTCAAACCACTCGCATCCACCTCATGAGTTCCTGAAATTGGAGAAAAGCTTGTCATTGATATCTTTCATACCCATCTTCTCCAACCTGAAAGACCACAGGCAAGCCACTGAAACGTATGAGTGACTCAAATCATTATGTGCAATATTCTGCTTTCTGGGTTACCTTAGGAAATTTATTTCCAGTCTCAAACCTCCCTCCTCCACAGCCTGGCATTTCTCTCTTCCTTCATGACAATGTTGCAGGATTAGAAGCCCCCTGAAAGGATCTTCCTAAAATCCTCACCACCTGCCTTCAAAATAGATGTCCATCTTCATGGCCCTATCTTCTGTTAGGAGGGCATCTTCCATATTCTTTTCAAGGACACTAATCCTTACTCTTTTGCATCTTTCCACCCGGGATTTATGGGGTCACTCTCTGCATCTCAGCCTTTCCAGTCCTCCTTTTCCTTGGCTTGTTACATTTTCTCCTATTTGAACCTCTATCGTTCTCTATCTCCCGTACTATCAGTTTTCACCATGAGGGACACACTTGTTAAATTGCTGTTCAGGTTTCCTTTCTATCCCTGGACTCACTGGAGGAATCAGATGGAAATACCCTCAGTTCCCAAGGATATGCTCTTTATTCCCTAGAATGTTTGACATACAAAAATCTCTGCCTGAAATATCTGTGGATTTTTCACATCTACTTGACCTTGAGAACTCGGATTGGCCTTCACCCTGAGGAATTTGTCCTCGAAGCCTGAATAATGGCTACTGAATTGGTCCGGATCATGCTCTGTGCTGCCCATCTTAGCACTTGTTGCACATTCTTCTCATGGTTTTTTGGTAGTTACTGGTATAGTAGACTCTAAGAATCCTAAGAGGCATGCCACCTTCCACTGAATCGATGGCTGGATCATTTCTCCCGCTGCTCAACCCCTTCATAAAATTTCATGACACATGATGATTTAGCTCAAGTTCCTAATGGCTAAATTCCTCCATCATCTGTCTCAACCTGATTGAGAGGGAAATACACTCTCATACTTACCATCGAAGGCACAGTCATTCTGCCATATTTATTGAGACTCTCCTGGATTCCTTGGATCTTTTCCCATACAGATCTCATCTCGTCAGAGAGCTTTTCCTGTAAAAGAGCTATGGATTTTAGCACCAGGGCAGCAACTACATTTCAGTTTCAGAACTCCAATGGTGGAGAGAATAATCGAGGGATACTAGATAAATGTACTTCAAGGAGAGAAGGATCATCACATTTGCCCATTTGCCCTCGCTAGTGATCAAATTTTAGATCAAACTGTAGAACCACACAATGTCATGTCATCTGCATGGGGACATGGTCAGCATTTTACTTAGCACAGCCACTTTTCAGAACCTGTGGCATCTTGCATCCCAATATGCTTCTAGCGATGCTTGTCCCCTGCTCATTCCAATGCACTTTATCCCACCTGTGTCCACTGCTGGGAAATATGTAGCCTATAAAAACCCTTTCTGTAATTTTGAAGTTTTCATAGCCAGTGGCTCTTTCTCAAGAAGAGGGCTTTGCAGTGCCTTGGGCATGATGCCTTCTGTCTTGTCAGTTAAATCATGACCATTAACTTAATCACCCTCCCATGAAGAGTAGTAGACTGGTGTCTTCACAGCCTCATCGTTGGTACCTAATACCTGGCATTCATGAGAGGACTCAGGAACCCTCATGCTCCTCATGTCCTTACAATCCCTTAACCATCCTGTCTCCACCTTTCAAAGTGCTCCCAGAGCCATCACTTACCCGCTGTTCTTCAATAGCCTCTTCAATAGAATAGTGTCTGTGAGCCTTGTGCTCTGCGGAGTCAGAACAGAGCCAACAGAGCAGGCTCTCTTCCTCTCTACAGAAGATCATCTTTGTCTCTTTGTGGGTCCCACACATCTGTTCCTCAGAGAGCAAGAATTCCCTCAGATTGGCTTTCCTGGCAATGTACACTAGATTCTTAAGAACAATGTTGGTTTTGTACTCTCTCTGCTGGGATGGTTCACAGCATACAGGACATTGGTAAGGGATTTCAGCTGCCTCCCAGAAAAGGTAGAGAAAGGATCTACAGAAGCTGTGCCCACAGCATATAGTCACTGGGTCTGTAAAGGTATTCAGGCAGACAGGGCAGATGAATTCTTTCTGGATGGGTTCTGGTAAGGCCGAGTCCAGGTTTCTGAGGGAAGAGAATTAGATGTATTTATTCCACTGCCCTAGGGAAATACAGAGGCCTAAGCAAAATGTGATTCAGGTGGTGACTCCATAACACACTGGATCTTGAGCAGAATAGGCTTGATTTTGCAGAGGACACAAAATGGAAAGCCAAGCCACAAGAGATCTCTAAGATCTACAGAAAATTTTCTTAGCTGCCTAGCCAACACCATTCACTTCCAGCTCCCCATCCCTTTCTCCTGCATTAAAAGGAAGAGTTCCCCAGTCTTGCTGAGGGTCTCACTTTCCTCCAACGAGCTGGAGATGGAGGAATTTGACCAAATTTGTACCTCCAGGTGGCAGGTACCAAATGCCCCCTCCACTTCCCAAACCCACAAAAATCAATGGTAATGCTCACTGCCATCATTGATTTAGTGCAGGCTATCTGACTAAGCCTGTATTTCTATTACCTCAAATAATTTCCAGGCATTTCTCCTGGCATGTCCTTTTTTATCTCAATCAGAATCCACACCCCAAAACTGTCTTTCCACGATTTCTGAATAGGTTAAGTTAATGAAGAGGAATAGAACATTGTTGAGAGGGGCGCAATCCTAAACAGAATCAACCTTCATCAGTAACCATGTTGTGGAACTTGCCCCCCACCAATTTTTGTTATCTATACCACTCTAATGAAACAAATGGCAAATTAAACAATGCCTATCTCTTGCAGGTCTTTAAAATTATTGCCAAGCACCCCTTCAATTTGTCATAAGTTGTAATGAGGTTAGAACTATTGCCTTTTGGGAATCCAGGCATGCACCACTCTTACAGTAGACCATCATATACACTCCAAGTCAAATCAAACATTCCTAAAACCATTTTCAGCATTCACCCAAGTACAAAACTACAAGATAGATACAGCTTGGCAACTATTTTCTGAGCCTTTCTAAGATGCAGGAAACACTAAGGGCTGCATAAAATAAGAGAACTAAAATTAACCTTCATATTAACTCCATATTAACACACATAATGAGACAGGCTAACAGAACAAGGATGGAATCACTTTGGCTCTAAGTAGGCAAACAACATCATTTCACAGATCCCACCTCAGTTTGCCCATCAGATAAAACTCAGAAATCTGGTTTGATTTCCTTTAGGAAAGTCTCTTGAAACCCCCAACCCCCTACTGGTACCTTACATACTCACCTGGAGGCCAAGTCTACGGCCTCACAGATGCTTGTGGTAGAATTGATGGAAGGATGGCAGCTGGATTATCAGGGCTTCCAAGAGGGAGTTTTCAGAGGTCTCCACAGCCAGTTGAGCTCCAAACACACTCCCAGTTGTGGAGGAGAATGAACCTGGCCCCTTGGATCTCCTTATAGTGAGTCTCCAAAGACCACACCCATTTCTTCCAAGTGGCAACATTTCAGAGGTCTTCAGAATGGGTGCTCTGATGCATGATGAGATTTCTTCAAACCAGAGGAAAGGATTGACTTAACATGCAGGCTAATCTCCAAACGGATCTCCCTGTTGTGAAATCCGTGGCCCTTGCTGTGATGACATTTGAGGAGATCTGTTTGGGTCAGGGAGTCTGTTTTGACTGGAATTTTCCTTTTGACAGTCAATGTGACATTCAGCAGGGTAATAACCAATCACGATACGAGGCTATTTGAAGACGCGAGAAGTTTGAGGTATGACCGTGACCATCTGTATGCATCCTTGATTCCTGGAACATCTGACCACTTTGCATCATGGGGAGAACCCTGCTTTAGCAGTGGCAAACATTACTGGGAATTAGAGGTGAACGACTCTTGGGACTGGGCTGTGGGTGTCTGTGAGGGCTTCCGTGACAATTCCTGGATGAGGAACATTGGCCCACTGGAAGAACTGAGTGGCACATTCCTCCTGATGTGTGTAAAGGAGGATGATGGCTACAGGCTCTGGGCCACCTGGCCTCTGTCTCCTGTGTTCACCGAGAAATGTCAGGGCAAGGTTGGGGTGTTCCTTGATTTTGACACTGGAAGTTTGAGTTTTGTGGATGTGGCAAAGCATTGGATCATTTGGAGGTACCACAATGGCTGCTTGAAATCTCCTGTCAGGCCTTTCATGTGCTCTGGCCACAGATGAGGGCTAAGTCAGAGCCTGACCTGGGACACCCCGGAACCTGGTACCTGAGGGAGCACCACTCCATCAAGGCCAATGAATGTTAGTTGATTACCTTTTCTGCTTTTTCTACTTGGATGTAACCTGCTGTTCAAATAAAGATGTCTTGACACCCACAATTCTGTCACTTCAGTTCCATCTTCTTAGACATCAGAATCTCTTGTGTGCCTTTCATCTAGAATATGGGTGCCATCATTGGTCACCCATTTTGAGGTTGCTGGAGGTGCCAAAACAGATGAGTGTGATTGGAACCTCATGATCCAAACACAGGAACAGGGGGTTTGCACATCAGGTGTGGGCCTGGTTATCTGGGGTGCCCATGTGGTCTGCAACCCAGTTTCTTCTTCTTGATGTAGTGTATCCCACACATGGATCGATTTGTCTCAGGGTCAAAAACCCAGTTTGACAGGAATCATCCTGACCCTTTGCATAAAGATAGGCCCTTGCTTTAGTGAGCCCCATGTAGCTAGGCCTTTCAGCTTTTCTGTAGTATAAATGGCAAGGGATGGAGAAAGGAAGTGCCTCATATACTCAACCACTGTATTCTCAGAGGGCAACAGGTTGGCTGCATATCAGGGGCAAGTTCACCAAATATGGGAATGAAGAAATCTAATGATCATGAGACCATGATCTTATCTGAAGGGAACTTTGTTGTAAAAGTCAGGGACAAGGAGGGAGTCCAAAGTTCACATTTCCAGGATTTGAAGGCTGGTGTCCAAAACAGATTATACAGGTTGAGTCGACACCATGGAGTTTTGTCTTCAGGAACGTGCATCTGGGTGGGGAGGCGGGAAATGAAGGGACTGTTTGGCAAGAAGGGACGTGTGTGTGTGTGGTTACACTCAGGGTGGTCATACACTTACTTGCATTGAGGATCGTCACTTGGGCCTTGAAGGATGGGATGGGATGGGAGTGATATGGGGCTACCAAGCCAAGGGTCAGGAAAGAATTCTTAAGACCTTTTCAAGGCCAAAAGATGCTTTTTTTATACCTGGGGGACAGGACCTGCGGGCAGAAGGAACTGCACTGTGATTGTGAGGAGTGACTGATTATATACTTTTTAGTTAGTGGAGGTTAGGGCTCAAGCGAGTTTCTAAGGCATATGTGCCTGTTAAAAGCAAGGTCTCCAGGAATTGGAGGGCTGGCTATTAAGATATGGTTGCTTTCAGTCTCCAATAAAACATAAACATTAAGGCAGCCATGGAGCTCCTTGAAGAATGTCATGCTTGCATGGCTCAGGGATTTATCAGTGGGCTGCAAGTTGGAAGGAGACTTGAATAGGGCTACATTTCTCTTGCCTTTGTTCTCCACGTCAGGAGGACAGAAGAGCAGTATGTGGACACATGCCCCTTACCGTCTGTCCCCATTTCATCATCACACAAGTTTACATTGCTTTCTGTTTCAGATGTTCTTGTCCCACGCTGGATTGCAGAGTCTCCATTGTCTTTCCACCACCAAATATACTTGCTGGATATATTGTGAGAAACCAACAAAGTAACCTTGTTGATTGAATCAAGTTTGTGTTCTGGACTAGAAAAGGAATAATGCTGGGGAGACATTATAGTCTACCATACTTGGGATCCAGTGTTACTGTGTGGCCTGGAACACGTCACCTAAATGTGACTTTGCCAGTCTTTGCTAGTCCTAAGAGTTTACAGTAACTGAGCACTTACTGCGTGGTTTCCATATAAACGGAGTTCTCTCTTCTTTACATATAAAAACTTTAATAATCCATTATTTCCAATGAAAAAACTGAGCCATGAGATAGTTCAGTGACTTTTGAACTCAGGTGTCAACCTCCAATGTCTGTGCTCTTAACTTTGCCATTGGTTGCTCTGGAAAATACAATTGTCTAGCTGGAGTTTAAATAAAAACTTAAAAAAAAAAAAAAGACCAAAAAAAAAAAAAAACCCCACCCACAACCCAACATATTAAAAAATGCTAAATGACCAAAGTTGAGATTTTTTACACCTTCAAAATATGAAAGAAAAACACATGAAGGGGTCTACTACTGTGCATAGTGAATTAAAAAAAAAATTTTTTAAGATTTTTATTTTATTTATTTGAGAGAGAGAGAGAGAGTGTGTGTAGTGTACATGAGCGAGAGCACAAGCAGAGGGAGCGGCAGAGGGAGAGGTAGAAGCGGGCTCCTGGCTGAGCAGGGAGCCCGATATGGGGCTCCATCCCAGGACCCCGGGATCATGACCAGAGCCTAAGGCAGACGCTTAACCCACTGAGACACCCAGGCACCCTTGTGCGTAGTGAATTTGATTTGACCCACGATATTTTGGCTGTGAGTCTCAAAAAAACAAATAACATTTATAGATTACCTTTTATCATGGAGAAGTGACCAATGGAAGATCATATTCTATGGTTTTAAAAATTCATTTATAATTCTGTGATTGAATTATGCTGATGAAATTATGGAAATATCAATTTAATCCAAAACCTCTTCTGTCTTTCAGAAAGGTATAGGGGGAGGTTTATTTTCCTACAGCATCCAAAGAAGAAAATCACAGAAGAAAATAGTTATATTAGTAGTACTCATAATCCCCAATTATTTTTTGTAGTGTCCCCACAAGTGGCATTTTCCAGAGAGTAGTGAGAAAAAAGAAAGCTGTCATGCTATATATATCGTACTGTCATGATTATATGTAATATGCTTATTCCAATATTTCTTAATATAAATAATACCGACACTACAAGAAATTAAATATTTAGTTTTTAAATCCTTGACCACCCCTATCATACAATGTGTACATTTATCTTGTCCTTATCTTGCTGTCATGCTTCCATTCAATTTTTGAGCTGTGTTAGATTGTTTCCTGTTTTCTGGATTGAGACTATCTATTTTACAACTTTTTATGTTGTCATTCTGCTTTTCAATTTTACTTTCCGATTCTTCCACTGAGTTCCAATTTCTGCTATGTCATATCTAATATATAACTCCTACTGCATTTCTGGATGATTCTTTTTAAAATCTTTTATTTTTAATTTTAATGTCTTTAACCATCTCTATATTTTGGGTAACATAAACTCTGTTAGGGTTCTTCAATTCCACGGACTCCAAAATTTCACCTTTTCTGGAATGCCATATACTTGGACTCATGAAATAAGTAGCCTTTTCAGATTGGCTTCTTTCACTTAGTCATATGCATTGAAGTTTCCTCCATGCCCCTTGCTTGCTTGATCACCACTTCTTTTTAGCACTGAATACTATTCCAGCATCTGGGCATACCACAGCTTCTTTATCCACTCACTACCCGAGGGCATCTTGGTTGTGTCCAACTGGTGGCATTTATGAATAAAACTGCCATAAACATCCTTTAGTGACTTTTTGGGCACACGTGAAGTTTTCAGCTCATCTGGGTAAATACCAAGAACTAAGATTGCTGGATTATATGGTGGGAGAAGGCTGAGTTTTTAAAGGAACTGCTGCAGTGACTTCCAAAGTAGCTGCCCCACTTTGCATTCCCACCAGCAGGGAATGAGAGCTCCTGGTTGTCCACAGCCTCGCCAGTATTTGAGGCTGTCACTAGTTAGGACTTTGGCCATCCTAACAGATGTGTAGCGGTACCTCATTGTTGTTTGAAGTCCTTTCCTGCTAGCCACGTCTCTTTCATTTTACTTTCTTTCAGCCCCACCCCCACTCCCATCCTTTCTCTAATGCTATGCTTCTTGGGTGAGGTGCTGGTTATTTGTTTCTTTACAGTTAC